AAAAAAAAAAAAAACATATAATGTATCTTCCCCGACCAAATGGAATGAAATTAGAAATCAATAGAGAAGGAAATCGACTATTCACAACTACATGAAAATTAAACACAGTTTGAAACAACCAGTGGATCAATGAAAAAAATCACAACAGAATTTAGACAATACTTTGAGATGAATGAAAACAAACATATCAAAACTTCAAGGCTGCAGCTAACACAGTACTCAGAGGGAAATTCACAGCTATAAATGGCTACATTAAAAACAAGAAAGATCTCAAATCAATAACCTGACTTTCCACCTTAAGGAACTAGAAAAAGAAGAGCAAATAAACACAAAGTAAGCAGAAGGAAGGAAATGGTAAAGATTAGAAAGGATATAAATAAAATAGGAAATAGAAAAACAACAGATAATCAACAAAATAAAAAATTGGTTCCTTGAAAAGATTGACAAAATTGATGCACCAATAGATAGACTAAGAAAAATAGAAGATTCAAGTTACTAATATCTGGAATGAAAGTTGGGACATTACTACTGACCTTACAGACATAAAAAAAAAAAGAGAATATTATGAACAATTTTATAAACAAATCAGATGACTCAGATGAAATGGACAAGTTCCTAGAAACACACAAACTACCATAACCTATTGAAGAGGAGTATGTAACAGTCTTTCTATGACAATAAGGAGATTGAATCTGAAAGCAAGTAAATACCGTTAATGGAATGAATGTTTGTGTTCCTCTCAAAATTCATATGTTGAAGTCCTAACCTCCCACATGAAGATATTTCAAGTTGGAGCCTTTGAGAGATAATTAGGCTTAGATGAAGTCATGAGGGCAGGGTTGCCACGATGGGACTAGCACCCTTATAAGAAGAAACCAGAGAGTGTGCTCTCTCTCTCTCCCTCTGCCATATGAGGATACAGCAAGCAGGCAACTGTCTGCAAATCAGAAAGAAGGTCCTCACCAGATGCTGAATCTGGTGGGACCTTGACCTTGGACTCCCCAGGTTCCAGAACTGTGAGAAATAAATGTTTGTTGTTTAGGCTACATAATCTATGGTTATTTTATTATAGCACCCCAAAATGACTAAGAAAACTTCTAACAAATAAAAGAATCATGTGGTTTCACTGGTGAATTCTACCAAACATTTAAAGAATTAGCACCAATACTTCTGAAACTCTTCCAAAAAAATAGGAAAGAAGGGAATACTTCCAAATTCATTCTATGAGACCAGTATTACCCTAATATCAAAGCCAGATAAATACATCACAGAAAACTACAGACCAGTATTCTTTATGAATAGAAATGTAAGAATCCTCAATAAAATACTAGCAAATTGAATTAAGTTGCATATAAAAAAATTATGCACCATGAACAAGTGGGATATATCCTAGGCATGTAAGGCTGGTTCAACATAGGAAAATCCATGAATGAAATATATCATATTAATAGAACAAAGAGAAAAGGGCATCTATGAAAATTAATAGTGAAAGCTTTCTCCTCTAAGACAAAGAACAAGACAAGGATGTCTGCTCTTGCCACTTCTCTTAAACATCATACTGGAAGTTCTAGCCAAGGCAACTGGGCAAGAAAAAGATGTAAAAGTCATCCAAATTGGAAAGGAAAAAAGCAAAAACTGTCTCTGTTCACAGATAATACGATCTTGTATATAGAAAACTCTAAAGAATCCACTAAAAATTATTAGAACTAATAAATGAGTTCAGCAAAGTTGCAGGATACAAAAATCAATGTTCAAAAATCAGTTGTATTTCTATATACTAGTAATGAACAATCCCAAAATGAAATTTAAAACAAGAATAAATTCTTAACTTTACCTAACAAGGTGAAAGATTTGTATACCGAAAAATATAAAACACTGTTGAAAGAAATTAAAGACTTAAATAAATGGAAAGACATCCTGTGTTCATGGATTGTAAGCCTTAATGTTGTTAAGATGGCAATATTCCCCAAAGTTACTGCAGATCCAGTGCAATCCCTATCAAAATCCCAATGGCCTTCTCTTGCAGAAATGGACAAGCTGATCCTAAAATTTATATGGTATTGCAAAGGACTCAGAATGGCCAAAATTATCTTGAAAAATAAGAAAATTGGAAGATTCACATTTCTTGTTTTCAAAACTTACTACAATGTTACAGAATGAAACCAAAGGCTAGACATATATCAATGAAAGTGAATTGGGAAGCTAGAGATAAACCCATACATCTAAGGTCAACTGATTTCCAACAAGTGTGCAAGACTATTCAGTGGGGAAAGAACAGTCTTTTCAACAAATGGTGCTGGGACAATTGGGTATCAACATGTAAAAGGAGGAATTTGGACCCCTACCTTACACCATATAAAAACTATAAATGATCAAGGACATAAATGTAAGAGCTAAAACTATGAAACTCTTAAAAGGAAATATAGGTATAAAATTTTGTGACTTTGAATTAGGTAACTGTTTCTTTTCTTTTTTTTAAATATTTTATTTATTTATTCATCAGAGAGAGAGCACAAGGAGGGAGAGCGGCAGGCAGAGGGAGAAGCAGGGTCCTCGCTGAGCAAGGAGCCTGATGCGGGACTTGATCCCAGGACCCTGGGATCATGACCCGAGCCGAAGGCAGATGCTTGACTGACTGAGCCACCCAGACGTCCCTAGGTAACCATTTCTTAAATAGAACATCAAAAGCACAAATATCAAGAAAAAAGCAAATAAATTAGACTTCATCAAAATTAAAAACTTGTGCATCAAAGGAAACCACCAAGAAAGTGAAAATACAACCCACAGAATGGGAGACCATATTTGCAAATGATAGTAACATATAATTTTTACAGTTCAACAACAAAGATAATCCAGTTTTAAAATGGGCAAAGGACTTGAATAGACATTTCCCTAAAGAAGATATACAAATGGCCAATAAACACATGAGAAGAAACTCAACATCATTAGTAATTACAGAAATGTAAATCAAAACCACAATAAGATACCACTTCACAGCTACCAATGGGATTAGGATTTAAAAAAAGGGGGGCGGGGTACGGGGAATGACAATTGTTCGTGAAAATGTGGAGGAACCAGAACCCTCATACATTGCCAGTGGCAAAGTAAGATGGTGTAACCACTACGGGAAACAATTTGGCAGCTCCTCAAAAAGCGAAAGATAGAATGATCATATGATCCACGAATTCCACTCTTCCACATATATCCAAGAGAATTAAATGCCTATACTCAATGAAAATCTTGTACATGAATGTTCATCATAACATTTTTCATAATAGCTCCAAACTGGAAACAACTCAAATGTCCATCAACTGAAGAATGGATAAAATATGTGCTATATCCATACAACAGAATATTGTTCAGCCCTAAGAAGGAATGTAGTACTGACACCTGCTACAACATGGATGAACCGTGAAAATATTATGCGAAGTGAAAGCAGCCATAAAAGGCCACATAGTTTGTGATTCCATTTATATCGAATGCCCAGAATAGGTAAATCTATAGGGACAGAAAGTAAGTTAGTGGTTGCCAGAGGTAGGTGGGAGGGAAGAATGGGGAGGGACTGCTTAACGGTAAAGGGTTTTCTTTTTGGCCTGATGAAAATGCCCTGGAAGTAGACAGTGGTGATGGTTAGACAACTTTGTAAATGTACTAAAACTACTCAGCTGTGCTCTTTGAAAGGTTAAAATAGTAAATTTTATGTTACCTGAATTTTACCTCAATAAAAAAATTTTAGGGCTCCTGGGTGGCTCAGTCATTAAGCGTCTGCCTTCGGCTCAGGTCATGGTCCCAGGGTCCTGGGATCGAGCCCCGCGCCAGGCTCCCTG